TTACAGTTACAGCGTGCCCACCCAGCCCCTCTGAGGTAATCTCTCCCTCTCAAGATCCTTATGTTAATCACACCTGCAGAGTTTCTTTTGCCCTTTTATGGACCGAATGTGCTCCATCCTAACTCTAGCTCTCAGTTGGAAATCTGGTCTAACCCCCAGGATCTCAGAATGTGGAGACAGTCTTTAAAGAAGTCATGAAATTAAAATCGGGTCTTAGGCTGGGCCCTAATCCAGAATGACTGGTGTCTTTCTAAGAGATGTGGACACAGACTACGGAAGGAAGACCATGTGAAGATGGAGAAGACGGCTCTCTACACCAAGGACAGAGGCCTCAGAAGAAGCCAACCCCACCAGTACCTCGTCTAAAACTGCCAGCCTCCGGGATGATGAGGAAATATATTTCTGTTGTTTTTGCCATCTGGCTTGTGACGGTTTGTTATGGCAATCCTGGCAAACAGATATGGCCCAGCGAGGGTACACAGGGTCCAGGGAGTATGATGTGGATGTCTTGGGAGACAGGACTCTGTCCAGCACAGTGCTTAGTGAGTGTGAGCTGCTCGTAGGAGTATTACTATTATTAGAATTATTATTCTTGTAGGTTAAGTACTACCCCCCCTCCCCCATGGCTATCATAGACAGGTATATCAATTACTCCTCATATCTCAAACTTTTGATAACTTGGTCTATGAAAATTCATTTTCCCACTGAATTTCCTCAAGAAAGCAAGAAACATCCCTTAACTTTTCATTCTCTAAAACATCTACTACTAGGCAGGGCCAAAGCAGTTTTGCAGGTCCCTGCAACAGTGCTTTACGGCAGGCAGGGCTGGATTAACTTTGCTTCAACAGCGATGGGGGAGCCTAGTGAGTGGCTCACCCAAGGTCACTCCGACTTGGGAGCTGAGCAGGGTCTTCTCTGCCTTGAGATGAGGGCTGGTGAGGGCTTGCTGCTGACTCAGCATGTGGGATCCTCAGAACACCATGAGAAGGGTTTAGGGCTGGTCAGTGACGTGTGGGAGCCCTGGGGACTGGGCAAGGAAGAGCCCAGGAGCCTGGAATCCCTCTCCAGGGACCTTCCTCCCCAGCACAGAGGTCTTCCTTGACCCAAGGTGGCTTAACCCAAGGCCAGGCCCAAGGGACCTGTAGAGGGAGTCATGTTCGGGCTACCCAAGAGGAACTGGGGGGCCTGTCCTGGTCAGCCCTGGTGGACAGCTGGTGCCATAGGAGGCCCTGTGCAAGAGGCTTCACTGCTGGCAAACCGCTAAAAAGAAAAGTCATGGGGACCAGCAGGTGGCATGGTGGTTAAGGCGCTGGATACTCCCACATGGCTGACCACGGTTCGAGTCCTGGATCTGGTGGCTTGCTTTCTCACTTTCCTTCTCTTTCTCTCTGTGTCTCTCTCTGGTCAAATCAAAATAAAATGAATGAATGAATAAAAGCAAATAAATAATTAAAAAGAAAAGGACAAGTCATGACAGAATTTCCCGTGAGGAGGAAACAGAAGCAGAGTACGGAACCCCACCCCTGTGGGACAGTGCTGTCCTTCTGTCTGGGTCTGAGACGTCTCAGGGTGTTTGGTGTTCTCGGCCATCCTGGCTACTGTTCTTTTTGTGACGGGATCACAGAGGGTCCTGGTGGGAGGCACCCGCTCTGGGACTTGCAAGCCCCTGAGACTGTGAGTGGTAGAGGGGTACAGGGGCAAATGTCAATTCTGTGCAGTCACTGGGCAGCACAAAGTGGCCCTGAACGGGCTAGCTGCTCCCTGCCCTGCTGGGCTGGGCACAAAGCTTACTGAGGTCCTGGGTGCCTGGAGGGGCTGCCTCTGCACAGGCCTCAGCTGGTGCTGAGGGGAGGGACTCTGTAGTCACAGGAGTACTCGGTCAGCCGAGTTACTGCCCCACAGTTCCTGCCCTCCTCCATAACTGAGCTGGTTTCCTCTCTGCCAACCCCTGCTCAGCTCAATTGCCACCTCCCCCAGCAAGCCCTCCCTGCTTGATTCTCCTGGTTGAAAGGAGTATTACTTATTCTTGTTCTTCCACATCACTTGGCGGAGTCTAGCACTTAAGGCTGACTGTAATTTAAACATGCATAAAACATTTGTGAGGAGACTCCCCCCTCCAGAGGCTACATAGAGATCAATAGGCCTAGGAGGCAGGAGCTGGCACCCCACTTAGGCCCCCACTTCCTATGTGACTTTGGTCTAGGCACACCCACTCACTGAGCCTTGATACATCATTGGTCCATACAACAGGGACAGAATCATCGCCCACCACACGATTCAGGGATCGATGTGATTACAGATGCAGAGGTGTACAGGTTGGGGGCTCACTTCCAGGCATCGCACTTCAAGGAACACAGACAGATGGGAGCACACTTGCTCCAAATGTAGAGACTCAAAGGGGACATGGCTTGTATATTCCCACAGATGCAGGACTGGTATGGGGACAGGAGGTTGTTTTGCCTGTTGTGGCCCCTTTATAAAGGAGACAGACTCTGGCTTAGTTCAAATGAAATGAAAAAGGCTGCAACCAAGAGTTCCCCAAGATGGAAGTGGTCATGGCATGGAGCGGTGAGCTCTCTGTTATCAGAAGGACATAGAGCCACCACCAGGCAGGAACCCGGCAGAGAATAGAAAGTGGACTGGGCAGCTTGCACTCTTGTCATTTTCCGAGCCTTGATACATCACTGGTCCATACAACAGGGACAGAATCATCGCCCACCACACGATTCAGGGATCGATGTGATTACAGATGCAGAGGTGTACAGGTTGGGGGCTCACTTCCAGGCATCGCACTTCAAGGAACACAGACAGATGGGAGCACACTTGCTCCAAATGTAGAGACTCAAAGGGGACATGGCTTGTATATTCCCACAGATGCAGGACTGGTATGGGGACAGGAGGTTGTTTTGCCTGTTGTGGCCCCTTTATAAAGGAGACAGACTCTGGCTTAGTTCAAATGAAATGAAAAAGGCTGCAACCAAGAGTTCCCCAAGATGGAAGTGGTCATGGCATGGAGCGGTGAGCTCTCTGTTATCAGAAGGACATAGAGCCACCAGGCAGGAACCCGGCAGAGAATAGAAAGTGGACTGGGCAGCTTGCACTCTTGTCATTTTCCAATTCTAAAAAACATCTTAAGGCATTATTGTGAGCCTCTGGCACCAACACCAGCTTTCTTTTCACCTTCTTGAAAGGAAGAGAACAAGAGAAACTGCCCATGTGGGGTCTGAGCAGACAGACTTGAATGTTACTTTCCAACTGTTGGGTCATCTCCTACTTCATTGTCACTTCTTCAGAATGATCTTGCCAGGCAAAAACCAAGTCTCTAGCCAGGTCACATTAGTCCTTTAATATTTACTTCTTACATTAGATAATCAGCCCATGGCTCCAGGCTCCTCTTAGGGAGACATTAATCTAATGAAGTCAGAGGATGCGGACAAATTGCCGTGAGGGTGGGCACCTTTGGGCTTAATGGGGCTGCTCTCCAGCCGGGTCCCTCTGCCCTGCCTCCACTTCCCAGGTTTCTGCAAACACAGGAATTACCACATATGCAAAGTGTTGATTTATAATCAGCTGCTTTCTTTTGGTCAGAAGTCCCCTAAAGTTCCCATCAGGGGCAGGAGCCAGAGAAGTCCCTGGCCTTTCCACTGCATGAGCTCTGTGCAGGTGATGAGACCTCTGACTCACCCTGCACCCCTAACCCTGCCGAGGGAGGGGTGGTAATGGCTGCATTAGGTAGGGATGCTGGTAGGGAGGGCAGAGGTTGGTTCTTCTTGGAGGTCTGCCTGCATCAAAGAGGATTCTTGCCCCCAAACACAGGCAGCACCCTCTCCCCCACCAAGGCCTGTTAGAATACATTTGGTTTACCACAAGCAGTTCAAACTGCTCTGTAGGGCCCCAGGAGTCCCCAGAGTCCCTCAGGGCTGGAATAGGCAAACCCAGACGACAGGGCTCCAGGCTCCAACCGGCACTTCTGCTTTCACCTGATTTTACTTTCACCAGGCTGAAAAATTAAAGCCCTTGGATTGAGAGAGTTAAAAATATCTCTTATCTACATAATCTGTGTGCAATGAATATGCAACAACTGTATGACTTGTTAAGAGGAAAGAATGGAACAAGTTGAAAACAGTAGTGCTGGTATATTCAGGCAGGCAGGGCCTTGGGCAGCATCGGCTCTCCCCCTCCCTTTGCAGGTGGTACACAAGGCCCATGGGAAGTGAGGGGCTGCTCTGTCTCACTGCTAGTCCATGACACTAGCCAAAGAGGGAGGCCCAGAAAATTATTCTGAGGATCCACATATTAACTTAACTCAGCCGTTGTGTAAAATAGAAAGTTCCAGGAAAACACATTTGATCCTTATTATTCCCTGAGGGCTTCCCAGAGGAAGAGGTGTGCTGAGAAGGGGAAGGGAAAGCCCTCACAACCAGCTCTGTGGGTAGGAAATTGCCCCAGTCCCGGAATGGCAGGTATTAGCAACAGAACGGACTAGAACGGAGCCAGATGGTAAATATTTGGGGCTCTCTGTTGTAAGTACTCAGCTCTACCATTGTGCCCAGAGAGCAGCCACAGACAATACATAAATGAGCAGCATGGCTGTGTACCAATAAAACTTTATTTATGGACGCAGAAGTCTGAATTTCATATAATTTTCATGTGTGCCAAAATATCATTCTTCTGATTTTTTTCCCAACCATTTAAAAATAGAAAAAGCATTTCCAGTTGAAAGGCAGACCAAAACAGGTGGTGAGTAGAAGGCTATAGTGTATAGCCCCTTGGTTTAGATTTATTCTCCCACTGAATCTGTCACAGACCACCAAGGTGTGGGTAAGACATGTCCTCACTGCGGACATCAACCTCCTCATGCTTATAAAGTGAATTCAGTCTAGACTGAAGACAAGGAGGGAGGCGCGTGCTTGGGGCCAAGCAGGCAACTGCCTACTGGCTGCAACCTGGATGAATCAAGAAAATGAACAAATAACCCTTTCCTGTCTGTACCAGCATACCTTCTCCTGAGTCATAAGACTTCCTGGGCTTCCGGATTGAAGGTCGTTCCCTCTGCATTTGGGGCAGATCCGATCCTCACCATTCCTGGGGAAACAGGAACAATTCTTTATGAGGCCCTATGACTCCTAGGCACTCTCTGCTCTCCAGACAGCTCCAGAGGCCTACACCCTGCCCAGCGCGGTGGCTGGTATCAATGACAGAGCGGGCCCATGACTGGAGCCACCATTCTCAAACCTCAGAAGCACTAAGCATCCATTGGTTTTTCATGGTTTGCGGTGAGCTTCTTTGTCAGTTGAACCTGACCTGAGTTGACCAGAGACTTAGCTAGAACTTACTTGCTCCATGGTTTTAGTATGAATAGTATGTCTAGTGTCATGGACTAGCGGTGAGACAAACTATTCTCTACAGCAACCTGAGTATGATTATAGGCTGCTGCCCCAATCCCTGCTAGAATCACACAGTGCATCGACTTGCTTTTCTAAAATCAGAAAGAATTCTGTATTCCTAAGCACATCTGACCCAGGAGTTTAGACAAGGGATTTGGACCTGTAACTATATTTGCTCTTTTCAGAGACCTCTATGTAGCCTTGGTTTCTTACTGTGGGGAATCACAGGTGGATTGCGGCCTGTTGGAATAAGAAGGGGCTCAGAAGCCACCTAACCTGGAGGTTCTAACACAAGTGGAGGTCAGATTGTTACTGTGACATATGGGCAGGTGTGTTTTATAAAGTGCCCATGTGATTTTAATTTATAATGAGAGCTACTGACCGCACCCATTTTACAGGTGAGGAAGCTGAGGCTCTGGCAGGCATGTGGATTGGCCAAAGTAGAGTGAGCCAGGAGCAGAACTGGGCAGAAAGCTCCTCCAGCCTCAGGCTGGGCCCCAAACCTCCTCCCTCTTCTGCCGGGTTTGGACAAAGAAGGAAGGAAGCCGAAAGGCCGCCACAAAAACCAGAGATGAACTCAGAACAGTGAGTTGGATGGTAAAACCCACCAAGCTTGGCCCCTCCACCCCCACCAGGCCTTTTCACTGCCACAGCCTCCCTTTGTCACTGAACTGAACTTCCCACAGGCTTGATTCAGTTTCTTCATCTTCTCAAGCTGTAAAAGCCCCAAACAAAAGGTCATTCTGGGGGAGGGATGTGTGGTATTTTAAGGGCAGATTTGCTGTTACTAAGATATATTTTTAGAAAAAAATTTGTTCTTCATTAAAAAAAACAGAGGCATATTTGTAGGAACCTGACCTGGGGCAAAGGGATCTGATCTCTTTAATAGTCCTGCCTCCTCATTTGTAAAATAGGATAACAATAGTACCTACCTCCCCCTCATTCCAGGACCCAGGGAAAGACTTGGCCTGCAGCAGGTGGGCCACATGGCTTAAGGAGGGACGCTGATGACTGCACGGATGTCACATCTTTCTGGGTTCTTTATATTTTAAATGTCAATGTACACATTATAGCTATAGCTGTATCTTTGTCCCCTTTAAAAACATTCCCAGTAAACAATATGAGGTGATGGGCGGGATTGTATAAGGAGCTATTTCTGTCCAACAGTTTGCCACTTCCCAGGGCAGTTTGTATTTGTTATTGTAAGAACTTTTCTGAATATCATTATTATTATTATTATTTTAATTGTCAGGGGATGTATGCACTTGTAGGGAGAGACAGGCAGAGAAAGGGAGAGGGAGGAAGCACCCCCACTGGGGTTTGGTCATGTGCAATCCTTCTCCATCGTGTCAGGATTTGGGGCATGTGTGCACATGTACCTGGTGTGTTCTCAAGCCACCAGGCTGAAATTTGAACTGCAGTTGGCCATGTGGGACCCAGCTCTCTTAAACACAAGGATATGGGGCTAGTCCTCGAATATTATTAACTTGGTCTCATAACAATACTACAGGCCAGAAAATAACTTTATATGTAAGGTAGCTGAGGCTGAGAGACAGTACAGTGTCACTGACCACATGCTAATAAGCAGCGTGATCGGTCCAGTGGCCCTGCCTGGGAGATGGGGGCCCTTCTGCAGTGAGAGTATCTGGGCTACTTCTCCTTCCACCAGCAGCCAGAGGGGGGAAAGAGAGCCCCAGAGAGGTGGAGTCACCTACCTCGGTCACTTGCTCCTCTCCCCTTCGCCTCCCGTTGGCCCCTCTCCGACACCTTCTTCCCATCCACCCAGTACCTCTCTGTTCCCTCACCTTGGGTTCTCAGAGAGGCAGGCTGAGCAGCAGAGGGCCTTGGGCTCCGACGGATCCTGGCAGGTGGTGGCGGGGCACCCGAAGGGAAACTCATTCTCATCAGGGGCTGGCCGGGGGCTGCTAGCTGAGCTGGAGGCCATTCCGGAGTCCCTGCCTGGACAGAGGGCCCGTCTGAGCTCCTCCAGGGCAGAAGAAACGACCGTGGGGTCTGTGACGAGAAGAGAGGCGAGTTCTGGCCTGGGCCACCCTTTCTGGTGAGCAGGAGTCTCTGATGATTTTTTCTTCTCTCTGGCTTGTGTGGTTCAACGTCACAGCTGAGTCACACCAGGGATGGGGCAGGAATTACCCTCTGTGGTGAAAAAAGTCCCCAGGATGGTGACTGAAGTCTTTAGGAGTGTCCAGTCAGTTAGCAGAGTGAGAAAGAGCAAGAGTGCGAGTCAGAGAAAAAGAACCATGTCACACACTTTCAGGAACCCAGTGGAGTTCCCTTGTCGGAGAACCACAGGGTGCGCTGGCTCCCCCTACCTCCTCCAGGGCACCTTGGCAGAGAGGGCCACAGCTGGTCACGCATCTGAGCTCCCTGGGACCTCTGAGCAGCTTGGGACTCTGGGGCGGCTCACCTTCCTGGGGGGAGTGCCTTGGGTTCTGGAGGCAGGTACAAACACTCAAATGCTAGGTGCTCTGCCTTATAGAGTGTGTGTGTGACTTTGGGAAAAAGTCATTTCCTCATAGTGGGTCTGAGTTACTCCATCTGTTAAAAAAGAAAAAAGAAGTTGCAATAGATGGTCTCTGGATTCTCAGGTTCCGGGGCCCTCTAACCAAGACAAACGGAGGCAGCAGGAAGGCCTGCCTGCGGCTTTCCACGTCACCCATGGTGATGGCGTCAGACCCTCCCTTCCTTTGAGGTTCAAGGCCTGAGGACCACAAGCTCCTCAGGGCCCACCCCCCACGATCTTGCTCAGGAAGTCATAGGTGGCTGCATGCTTGGGTCAGGCGCCACCACTTCCCTGCCCCAGGAGAACAAAGCCATAAACAAACACACGTTCTTGGGGAGTGAGTCTCAGCAGTCAAGTGGACCTCCATCTGTGTTAGCAGAAAAAGTGAACCGTGCAAGGGATGGACTGCCAGACCTCCTGGCTGGTCTGCTTCTGCAGGGCAGTGTATCCCCTATGAATCTCTCCAACAACCTGCAGGATTGCTTCTGCATCCACCTGGAGGCCTGAGGAGCAAGAGGCCTGGTCCAAAGTCACACAACCTCTGGTAGTGGGGCGAGGCTCACACTGAGGCTGGGAGACGCTAAGTTCGGTGTTCTTCTACCCATACGAGAGGGATGAAAGCAAGGTGCTCAGGGAGCCTATGGAGCCTGGGATGGAGGTGAGAGCACCCAGCTTTTCTCATCTACAAGTAGAAAAGTATCCTTGTGCATCTTCCTATTGTGCCTTGCTCAGTTCCTACAGGGGGAACTTCCATGATGGATACAAATCCTAGGTTTTAAGGTCAGACAGATCTGAGCTGAGCTCCTGGGTCCCACCACTTACTGACCATGGGTCCTGGGACAAGGCCCTTAACCCCTGGGACCCTCAGTTTCTGCATCTGTAAAGTAGGGCTAATACCTCCCTCACCCAACTGCTGTTGTGACTAAATGAGGTTGTGGGGGAAAGCCTGACAAGGGCATGGCCCACGTGAAGTACCCTGACATTTTACTCAAATGATCCACAGCCTTTCCAGCTCCTCAAAATCCCGCCAGGGGTGAAAATGGTAATTTTTGCTTATCTAGCTACTGTCTTCACATCTACCAACTTCACTTGAGCCTTGCAGGTAGGCAAGGCGAGTGGGATGTTGTCCTCTGACCCTAGATACATTCGGCTGGCCCCCTCCCTGGAATGAAGCGAGGGCTGCCAGGGGCTGCTGGCTAAGAGGACCCCACAACCTAAGGCTGTGGTTTAAGTCGGGACCCTCCCTTCACCTGGGCTGGGCTGCTGGCCCACTCAGCAAGCAACCCGGAGGCTGATGTCAAGTCTACCAGAACTGTACGCCTTTAACCACACACGCTGACCTGCAAACATTCTGGCATCATTTCTTTCCTCTGGTTTAGAACAGAGGAGGCACTCCAGACATCTCTCCATCCAAGTTCTGGGTCCCTCTCTCTCCTCTGTCTTCAGTGCTTTCCTCTCTACCAGCTCCTTCTCATCAGCATCAAGATGCCTAAACTGTTCTGTTCACAGTGAAAAATGGCAAGGGAACCAGCAGTTGGCGTAATGGCTATGTCGCTGGACTCCCACGTAGTCAACCGTAGTTCGAGTCCCGGACCCAGTGGCTTAAACTCACGCCGGGCGCGTGTGTCTGCGTGCCCAAGATCCCGAGGGGAGAATGGAGGAGAAGGGATTGCGGCGTGGCCATCCCCCCTGGGGGGGTGATTTCTCACTTTCTGTCTCTCTGTCTCTCTCTGTCTGGCGAGTGCACGCGCCCTATAGCAAAAACCTCTTTCAAAAAAAAAAAAAGGCAAGAACCACTTTTTAGAGCTGTGATGAGGACTCTCACAGACACCATCTCATCTAGTTTTCATGGAGCCCTATGAAGCAGGTATTGCCAACATCATCCCCATTTTACTGATGAGAGATTGCAGGCACAGAGAGATTCAGTAGCTTCTCAAGGTCTCCGGCTGCTGGGTGAGGACCCCTGGATCTAAGACTCCACGCTCATCCTAAATTCCTCTCCCACATCTACTCCCTCTTCATTTAAAAGTAGAGCCTCTAAAAGGTAAGTTTTAATGGTTATAAATACTGAGGTCGGGACCAGCAGATGGCACAATGTAATGTCGCTAGACTCCCACGTGGTCCACCGCAGTATGAGTTCTGGACTCCAAGGCTTAAAACTCATGCCCGGCGTGTGTGAGTGCGTGACCAAGATCCCGAGAGGAATATGAAGAAGGGATTGAAGGGTGGCCATCCCCCCTAGGGGGTGATTTCTAGCTTTCTATCTCTGTCTCTGTCTCTCTGGCAATCGCAGGCACCATGTAGCAAATATCTCTCTACAAACAAAACAAAACAAAACTCTCTCTCTCTCTCTATATATATACATACACACACACACACACACATATATATATAGATATACACATATATATATAATTTTGAGGTTACCAAACGCCTTGTCCGGTTTTTAACCAACCAGGTCTCTGACCAGCACCTGAGCCCTCCCTTCCTTCCCGCACATCCTCGAGGGAGCTACCCACTGCGTCTCTGGCTACTCCTTGTCCGGTCTCCATGACCCCTTTCTCTTCCATCCTCAACCTGTCTCTCTACGCCATGTGTCGGCATTTCCCCGGTCTCCCACTTGCTCCTCCCTGCGCACTCAGTCCCGACCCCGCCTCCCCTGGGCAGCGTCCGGGGCCGCCCTCACCAAGGCTTTGGGTGCCCAGCTGTTGGGGCCCTCGCGGCCAGCGCAGCGCTGGGACCAAAGCAGAGCCCGCGATTGCTCAAGGGTGAACGAAGCCAGGGGTGGCTTCGGCGCCCGCGGAAGGGCTGGGGCCGTATGTCCTGGGCCAGGCTTTGCAGCCGCGGATTCAACTCCCAGGCCCGGGTTAGGTGGGTTCCTGGGGAGCCCCCACCCAAGCGAGCAAGAGCCGGCGCAGCTGGGCGGGAGCGCTGGGTGCGAGGTCGGGAGCTTCCGGTCGGTCCCAGGGCAGGGATGGGCGAGGGTGCAGGGCAACCAACCTCTGCGCCATCGCCGCCTCCTTCCCGCGGCTCTGCCGGGGGCTTCCGGTGGAAAAGGCGGACGTGGCGGAAGCTGGGAAGGCCGACCTTGAGGCCGAGAACCTGTTCCAGAGGCCGCCCAGGGGAGGGGCGAACGCTCCCCTGACGGAGAAACTGAGGCTGGACGCCAGGTGTGCAGCGTCGCGACACTGTGCTCCCATGGTAACTAAGACGCTAAACTCCGCTCCACTGGGTGCAGCGCGGGCACGTTAAGTACCATCACTGCCCTGTCAGTACCATGCTCCCTGCATACACGAGGCACACCTGGAACCTGAACCCCACGCTGGCCCCCTGTCGAAACCCTGCTTGGGGATGAGGCGAAAAGCAGCAACATCTCGGATTCCTTACAGCAAACCTAGCCCACTGCCAGCTCTCCAAGCTCACCACCAGGCTGGCGTACTCAGGAGAGCTGGCGCCGGTTGTGTGGGCGATGTGCTTTGACAGAACTGCGTGTTTCCAAGGACCCATTTCTGTTTTCATCTAAACACACGCGCTGGGCCACTCATTCCCTATGCACTGGTATATTGATCAAAATACTGGGGGAACTTGGTGTTGGGGCAGAATTTTAGCTTAAAAGGTGACAAACGTTATTGTTGTGAACCATCAATTTGTAAGACCTATGGCAGAGGGAAGAGTAAGGCTGCCCGGGGTGTCGGTTTTGTTTTGTTTCAAGTCCTCAGAGATGCCCATTAAATTCTTTTTAGGTGTTAGGCCTCCTTTCCCTTGTCTAGACTCTCAGCCGGACTGTAAAAGCAAGAAAGTGACTTTTACTACTTTGGTTGTAAATTCTGAGATGCTATAATCTCCACTCACCCTCCACCTTCTGGCAGGGAGGGCACTGCTGCAGGCCGGAGTGTCCATTGGTACAAGGTGGATCTCAGGATCTCACCTGCAGGGAGATGCCTGCTGTGGAAAAGCAGAGGGCCCCAGGAGCCTGAGAGGATTTCTGCCATCTGTGGGCAGTTGAGCAGATGTGGCCTCTGGTGTATTTCAATTCTAAGGGAAAAAAAAGACAGAGAAACTTCCTTTAGTCTCTGGTTTAAAAATCCATTGATCCTGGGTCTAATCTGCACGAAGCGAAGTAACTCAAGGATTTGGGACCCATGAGAGCAGTTCTCTGGTTCACCTCCCTCCCTCCCCACCCGTTTCCTGCCCCAAGCCAGGGTAAGTGAAGAGAGCAATCTGACCTCACTCCCTTCATGTGCCACATCCTGTTTTCAGATTAATGAGCTCATTTGCTGGAAATTTACCAAGGGAAATAGTTTAATTTTGGAAAGTACCAAAAACTTATCTGTGGTCACTTGGCTTAATTTGGGGGGCTCCTGAAATAGAGGGGGCATCACCAGAGAACCTCTGAATGCCCAGGGAACAGTCAGGCTGCAGAAATCGAAAGTCCAGCCCAATGAGGCTGCACCTGACTCAGAAAGGAAATAAAACCCTTTGGAGACCACTCATCTCTGCCAAATAGATTTTTTTTTTTCCTAAAAATAAGTTTAAAAAAGAGAAACAGGCCATCTGTCCAAGCCTTAGATCTTGTGGTCTGTGATTGGGCCGAGAATGAGGAACAAGCAAGCATAGGGAAGGTAATGTTTGAGCCCCAGCCCTCTCTGGTCATCCATAGCTGTCAGCTTGTTCTCAGAAGGCCCGGAAGGCTTTCACTCCCCAGCTCTGCCCCAGCCCTTCAGCTGTCAGACCTTTGACACTGAAGTTGTCTGCCTGACCTGGTAGCCTTTTGAGTTTGTGGCTCTTGCAAAGGAGCTAAGGAGCGAAGGCTGGGAGGATTCTAGATAAAGATTTGTGAGCTGTTCTGCTTTGAAGATGGTAGACATTTCCCAAGACTATCTCTAAGCATCCAGATACCTCCTGGTCTGCCCTGTTCCCTAGAATAGGGATTATACACTGATCTAAGATGCAGAATAGGAAAATGGTGAAAACTGACAAGGCCCTGACAGTACAGTACTCAAATGAAAGGAACTGTACCTTCCTTCTCTCCACCCCCATTTGAGATCTTATAGGAACCAGAATGAGCACTGGACTGGTAGTCAGGGCACTTTTGTTCTATTTTGTTTTGTTTTCCTGGCTATTTGAGGTTGGAAGAGATAAATGAATGAGCACTTAAGCAATAATTGAAGAAATAATAGTTCATAATTTTTTGTTTTATTAGCAGAAAATTATCCTAAAGATTATGGAATGAATTGGACTTTTCAGGCTTTGTGTTAGCTGTAGGAATGCCTTTGAAAAATCTCTCTCATGGAGTCCAAATACACAAACTAAACAGAAGCAGAGATGCTTGGCTAGGCCGAGCAGGCCACCAAGAGCCTCTGCACTGGTCTACTCTCCTCCCCACCTTGACCTCAGAGCCCTTGGTCCCCACAGAACCCTGCAATTTGAAAATCTCAGTCCTAATTTGATGTTCTCAGGTCCCAGATGTGGAAATGGGGATTCACTCCATGGCTTGCTTGCCTTTGCATGCTTACCATTCAATCTTTTTTTCAACAACGGCACCTTTACGTGGGCCATAGTTCAGGATCCTGGTAGCTAAGGGACTAGACAAGGGAGAGATTACACTGACCTGGGCCATCTGCCCTCCAGGGGGAAGCAGGGTCAGATGGGAACCTAAACATCTGGAGAACTGGGGTCAGTGGTTGTGGTAAAAATAACAATAGTGACTACCTTGAATTTTATGTCAGACACAACTCTAATCACATTATATGCATTGCTCTGTTTAATCTTTATAAAACTACCAAAAATGATTAAAACAAACAAACAACAAAAAAACAAAACTACTCTCTCTTTTCCAGGTCAAAACTAAGACTTTAAAAGTTAAATAATTCGGAGGGCCAGAGGTGGCACAGCAGTAAAACGTATTGCTCTGGCCCACATGGGAAGGTTACCCGTCTGTCCTTAGAGACTTCCCTGCGGAAGCTGGGTATGCTGAGTCCGTGATCTGGGCTGGCTGAGGCTGGGGGTGGATCTCTGTGTCAGAGCCCTGTTGGAAGAACTGTATCCCCCCCTGCCCCTTTTCTTCTCTCTTTATCTTTGTATTTTTTATCTTTATATTGTTCTGTCTCTCTCACTCATGGAATTAAAAGAAAGACATACATACATACATACCTACTTTGGTCAAGGTCAAGCAGCCAGTATCTGGCAGCATTGGGAGGCAGAGAACAGTCACCTGAAGGATTTGTGTGTTTTTCCTGCTGTTCAGACCAAGTTGAGCTTTTACCTGGTTTCCTCACTGGCAAGTCTTCAGTTATTCTCCTACTCTGGGCCTCAACTTCCACATTTGTCAGGTGACAAGGATGGGATAGATACCCTCAGCCTCCTTTGCAAGCTGACACTCTTGTTTTACAAAATTCATACTTGGGATACGGATAGGTGATGTGGGGCCACCTGACTCTGATCCCTGTCCAATACACCGGCCCATTCTTCAGCCTCTTAATCTTTGACAATTTTTTTTTGAGAGGTTTTTGTGCTCGCCAGACAGACAGAGACAGAGAGATAGAAAGCGAGAATTCACCTCCCAGGGAGGACGGCCACACCGCAATCCCTTCTCCTCCATTCTCCTCTTGGGATCTTAGGCACGCACGCACATGCACCCGGCGTGAGTTTTAAGCCCCCAGGTCCTAGACACAAACTGCAGTCGACTACGTGGGAGTCCAGTGACATAGCCATTACGCTAACTGCTGGTCCCAATCTTTGACATTTCTTGAGTAAGAGATGGATCCGTGAGTCATCCTGATCTACATTTCCATTTAAGCCTGGGGAGTTTTTTGGAGAGCAGGTTAGCAGAGAAGGAAATGGAGTGTCCCGTCTTGGGGAGGCAGGGCAGCATAGAGGCATGATGAGGACAGTGGGCCGTAGTTGCAGCCATTTTCACAGACTTCGGCCAGCACATTTATCAGACACTTGTAATGCATTAGGCATAAGCGTGGCCCCAGGTCATCACTGTGAGTGAGCCCGATGAGGGTCCTCATCTCCCACACCTGGAGCAGAGACAGGACTAAAGCAGGCAAGGGAATGAGTGGTATGGTCAGCTAATTACAGCCACGTGGCGACCACGTGGGCGTGCTCCTGAATGCCAGAACCCTGGGAATGTGGGGCTTGGACTGGGCTAGTGCGCCCTCCACTTATTCAAACCCATTGCGCCCTTTTGGCCCTGTGTCCTTTCTTCCATTCCCAGCAGCACACTCTGCCTCTGTCATACCCAAGACTTGTAGTCAGTACAATTTGTGTGCAGCTTTCTTGTACACATCATCTTTTTTTTTTTTTTTTATTTTGGAGAGGTTTTCGCTATAGGGCGCATGTGCTCGCCAGACAGAGACATAGAGACAGAAAGCGAGAAATCACCCCCCAGAGGGGATGGTCACGCCGCAATCCCTTCTCCTCCATTCTCCTCTCGGGATCTTGGGCATGCACGCACACATGCCTGGCGTGAGTTTTAAGCCACCAGGTCCGGGACGTGAACCATGGTTGACTACGTGGGAGTCCAGCGACAGCCATTACGCTAACTGCTGGTTCCCTGTACGCATCATCTTAATCTCCTCAAATAACTTCTGATTCCTGAACCAGGAAATTGAATTGAACAGATGATTCTAGGTTATCAGCAGTCTACTAGATTAAAAGATCAAATGGTCCTGAGTTCTTCAACCCGGCTCAGTGTTTCCCTGCAGTGCCTCACATACAAAGAAATAGATCAGCCCCACTAAGTGTCTGGGAATACAGGCTCACGCCGCTGTGCCTGGCTTTTAGGTTGGACTAGGAATCAAACCTGGGCTTCCCATTCGGGCCTACAGAGCACAGCCTCTCAGCAACACGCACCACTGAAGCTGGGCCTCCATCTTGGTTCTCCTTACACCTGTTATAACTAGCAAATTTTTATTTATTTTTTTGGAGAGGTTTATTTTTGCTATAGGGCTTGTGCGCTCACAAGAAAGACAGAGAGAGACAGAGAGAGAGAAAGTGAGAAATCACCCCATGCCACAATCTCTTCTGCTTCGCTCTCCTCTCGGGATCTTGGGTATGCGTGCACATGTGCCTGGCGTGAGTTTAAGCCACCGGGTCTGGGACACGAACCACGGTCAAGTGTATGGGAGTCCTGCAATGTAATTATTACATCATCTCCTGGTCCCCTAGCAGCAAAAGTTTGAAAACACATCTGGATCTGTTTGTTCAAGGGAGTTTCTATGTCTGGTGATTTTTCCTATCTCAATAGATTTCCTGGTTTTAAGAAAAGAAACAATACTTCTAAAATTCTTTGATTTGTAATCACCAAGCTGCCCTGGGGTTTTTCCAATTGTCTAAGGGACTGGTTACTTTGAAGGGGCAATGGAAATTTGATTTTATTAAAAAAGAATTGTTTAATTTTATTATTAGTATTATTATTTTTAATTTGCTACAGGCCATGTGCACTAACTAGAGAGAGAAAGGGTAAGAGAGAAAGAGAAAATGAGAAAGCCAATTACCATGTTGAATTGTGGTCAGTCATGTGGGAGTCCAGTGCCTTAACTGTCATGCCACCCGCTGGCCCAGAAATTTGATTCTATTGGGGGTGTGACACCACAGTCAGGTGATGTGGTCCAGGAGAAGAGGGTGGTAGATGGAACCTTTGAGAAGGACGAGCTCTAACATGCCAATCATGAGAAGGGCATTAATACCAGGTTACCTACTGCCTCTCTTTGCCATCTCTGTCTACCCAGAGATGGGTGCTAAGAGAGAGCATTGCTGTGTATCAATTCCATCGTTCACGGATCTGGAAACAAAGACTT